GGCAATCCTTTTTCATGAGATGAAAATATCAAATTCAGTTGTCCTTCTGTTCTTTGCAGTAGAACAAGACAAAATATGTATCTCATCTATTGCAAATATTGTCTTCCTGGTGAAGAAAATTAAAGTCAGAGCATTGAAAGAATGTAGATTTCTTTTTAAAGAAAAACTTCCATGAGATGACTTGATCAGCATCATCCTTTTTTTTTCAGAAAACAGAAGACCAGAAATTAATTTACCTTGGCCAGTTGTTGAATGATGCAAACACGCTGAAGGATGTTCTTCGGACGTATGATGAAGGGCAAGAAAACCACACTGTTCATCTAGTCTGCGCACCCCCTAAAGATAGTTTTAAAAGCTCTAAACCAGTTACAAAACCAAACCAAAGAACACGTAAGTACACTTCTTTATTGTTCATTTATGTTCACAGAAGTAAGTTTAAATTTTTTTGCAATTAAAGTAAGTAATACCTCGATTATCTGATGAGCTGTGGCAAAGCCTGGGCTGGAAACCAAAAACGCCGCATACTTAAAATGCTGTAAGTATTTCACACTTCTGTGCAATTTCCTTCAGTGCACTTTCAAAATGTTAATAAAACATTCTTTGAAGCCATTGTATCAATGTCTTTACCTTAAATTTCTCAGCCTCACAACCCCTCTTTCCACGGAGAGTAACTTTTTAGTATTTTAATTCCAGTGATGCCTTTTCAATCCCCCTTTTCCTTAAAATTTTCAGAATAGGCAATGACTTTTTTTCCTGTTCTGAAATTTTTTTGATCTTGCAAAAAATATCTGATTTTCACGCTAATCCAAGCCAGGCTTCCACTTTTTGCATTATATTAGTCGGGACCTGCTGGTTGTGTGATTAAAAAGTTTCCTCGCCCCTTTTTAGTCTCATACTGGTTTTATTTTTGTTAGATTCCATGTCTAATCTTCATCTTGTTTATGTCCTCCAGGGGAAACGACCAATACAAGCACTACTTCTTCACCAGGCGAAGTACCTACTGAACCCAGTGGAGCAAATGTGAGGCAAAGACAGCATGCAACCACTTCAACTCCTGGGCCAAATATTCAGACACCTGTAGGTTTCAACATGATTGATCCAAGAAGGAATATGGCGAATATGCGTGATCTGAACAACTACGCCTTTGTTGTAACGCAACAAGCAGCTGTGATGCAGCAGATGTACGCTCAGTACATGACTCAGTATTTCCAAATGTATGTATATCAGAATCCAGCCTAAGATGTCAGTATATATTACTGTATGTATCAATCCATCAGCACCCCTACCCTGAGTGTTAACTTCAACATAACATTTTCAGAGCTGTTTGGTAGGAGCTTAATATTTAAAATCCACACAGACTCCATTTGATGGAGCAAGGAATGAAGCAAAAAAGAAAAAAACCATTGGAAACCAAGGCTATACCAATTTTTTAGGCCTGTAACTCCTGTTTTTAGCCCCCTGTTTGGCAAGCTCAGACGCTGCCTGGCCTCATTTTTAATAATTGTCAAGTAGAGAATATTTTCAACATAGATTCTCCTTCAAGGTTGCATATGACAACTAAACAATTTTTATCTGTGAGGAAAATTTTTATCCAGACTAATTTTTCACTGCTGATACATGCATTCCTTGAAATTCTCCTCCATTTTAAAAACATAGCTCTGAAACAATCTAAATTTGAGATAACTGTTTTGATTCAGGATGAAGCTCCTAAAGGATAGTACCAACCGTTATCCAGCTGTTTCTGATCTCTGTTCTAAAAATATGAACAAAAAATCTTTCAATGATTTTGTGGCAAGACATCTTGTCCAGTATTCTATCAAATATTTCTTTCGTTTTTACAGCAAGCGTGTATTTATCTTTGTGTAAAATTTTTCAGGAATGGTATGAGCCCCCCCAATTTTCAGTATCCCGGTATGATGTATCCTTTCCAAGTCCCAAATGGTGCCCAACAACCAGTTAGAAATGAGCCTGTCATCCCAGCACCTCAGCCAGGTATCTTAACTATCATTTAACTAACTAGCCTATCAAATTTTTTGAGCCTTCTGAAAGTGTGTGTGGAGTGCTCCCCAATAACTTAAAGGATTCATTATTTTGCATGCAGATTAATTTTTCAGAAAATGGAAAAAATTCAAAGAATTCATAACCGTCCAGCCACGTCTAACAGTTCAGCAGTCCCTATTAAAAAAGGCTGTGTTACTTAGTATTTCTGATGTATTTTTTCAGTAACTGCGAGGAAGATAACAATGAATTAATTAAAAAAAAAAAATGAAAGATTTGCTCCATTGTAAGATTTTAATAGCCGGGAGTGAAAGAAAAACCCAATTTACGGATTGCGACATAGCTATGATTTACTCTCAGGCTACTAGGCAGTTGTCTGAAGTGTCATCTTTTCTTTTCTTAATTTTCTTTTTCTTTTCTCTCTGTCAACCTCTTAAAATAGAAGGGGACATCATAAAGACTGCTGCAATTCAAATAAATTCATAATGGGTGTAAACAAGCTACTACTACTACAACTTTGATGTACGCTGTATGAACATTTCAGATTTGTCAAATTTCCTCCTATAAAATGTTTATATTGGAAAAAAGTTCTGCATATTCTCCTTCGAAATTTTCAGCTATTTTAGATTAAATTGTGAAGAAAATTGTCTGAAAAATTTGAAAAAAACAAAAAGCCATTTACAATTTTTCCAGTAAATTCGTTTTTATCGGAGGAAATATGGCAACGCCTGATGGCTCATACAGCGTTTTTCCATAGCACGGCAGTACTACTAGGAGTTCTTATGAACATTTTAGTTCAGTCATTATATTCCTTGCATAGTGCAGATTAGATCAATACCAATACACTCAGAATAGTCTTTTCTACGTCTATTTTTGCATAGTGACAGGTGGAAGTTTAAAATCCATGCATTTCTGTTGCCAGATATTTCAGATGCTTTCAAGTTCAACCAACTCTGTGCCATTCATGCTTGAATTCGAAGCAGAGGAATAAATCTCTAAAACATACGCAGTGGCCTGTTTGGTTTTGCGTTGAATTAGACTCTTTCTTGATCTACTTTACATATATTTAATCTACAATAATTGTCACTGATGACTCTCTCTACTTCTTTCCCAGCTGATGGAGAAGAAGAAGGTGGGCAGAACAATCGGGACTGGTTGGAATGGCTGTACAAATCGAGTCGCCTAATGATACTATTCTGTATTGTTTACTATTATTCTTCGCCTCTGCGGTTATTCTTGGTCTCCACCCTCGGGCTTTTGCTGTATCTGTAAGTATCTAATTTCTGAAAAATTTACGTCACAAAATTTTGTCAACTGCTGATCGTTTCTCATCAAAAAGTTCAACAGAACTATTTGTCTCGCATAGTTCATAAAAATTCACCAAAAATTATGATTTTACAAGACAAGATATAATCCCTGACTGGGAGGATTGTTTAGTGAGAGAACGAATCACCTAATTGTTTTGTGAACTATGAATTAGGCTGAATTTGCCTAAAGCTGAAGCAAGTCTGGGAAATTAAGTCATCAATTAGCATTCAAATTTTGTGGAAAAATAAGAGCATAGAAATATAACGCAGGCACCTAGTTGAAAAAAAGCTTAAGAATTAAGGACTGCATAAGCATTGAAAGTACATGAACATTTAAATTGGAAAATTTGTTATTAAAATCTAAAAAAACTTAAACAAGTTTCGTTTACTGTAGTCCGATAAAAGTCCTCTTGTTCTCCGATTTACTGAATTTTTAATTTTATTAACCATGAGAGGTTTTAGAGGAATCATTTTGGGCTTCAAAAGTGCAAGAATTAAACTTAACTACAGAGGCTTATTGATGGTTAGTTTTAGAAATTGTATCAAATAAATTAAATCAAGATACTTTTAAGATGAGGAAGTTCAATTATTTCTTTATACTAGAGTCTCTTGCACTACTGCCTTTGAATGTGTTGTATGTAAAATGTTGATAGTTAACGCTCATATGGGGACAGTTCATATATATTGGCATTTTCACTTTGTCGACTTAAACAAACCTGCTCTTAACTTTAGCCTGAGTAATTGAGGGACTTGAGGACAAGCAGTGAGACCAATTAGTTTTAGTTCTCTCAAAACTGGTTCGGCGGATTAAAAAGTGAGATTATTCCATACGGCTTTATTTAAGGTTTGTGAAAGTAGTATGACAGAATTTCGCTTTTGTAGATGAAGTTTATTGCTGAACAGTAACCACAAATGCTTTCTGGAGCAACATTCTACTTTCATCTCGCTTTAATGCATTGAAAATGTCTCTCTTTCCAGGTATCAGATTGGATTCTTCAGGCAGATCGTCCTAGAAAATAATAATGAACCAGGTGTTGCACCGCCCCCTGATCCACCGGCTGATGGCGATCGGTCTGAAGAAAGTCCGGCTGAGGTGCGGCCCCCTCGGCCTACGCTCCTTACAATGACTTGGACCATAGTCTCGAGTTTTTTCCTGTCTCTAATCCCGGAGCATCCAAATATGCTGTAGTCCGCTCATGTTTGACAAGCATGTACATTTTGTATTCTACTTTGGAAATAACCTTTTCCTACACCGCATACATCTTCTCTCACGGGCTGTTCTCTTTTGTGACAATCAAAACTAACCTCAGTTCATCAAACAAAATATGAAGTTGAATAATTTTCAAGTTATTCTCATCCTTCCGGCAAATTTTATTCAAATTTTGCATGAACAGTCCATTTGGTAGATACATTCGCTGAGAAGGTAGATGTCATTTTTAATCTGCCATAGATAGTTTCTATCAAGTGCCCAATTAGAAATGTCATTCTTAATAAAAGGACTGTCAAAGGAGGAAGAACAAAAATGCGATGCTTGAAGGTATCTTCAAAAACTTAGAATTTTGTATTTTTTTCTCTGTTTTGTCGTAAATGAACATATAGATCTCTCTGTGTTTGGATGGAGAAAAATATCACCGACACTGTTGAGATAATAAGCACTTGTATGATAAATATCACTATTAATATCAGAATTCTCATCAATAGGAGCCCAGATGTGTCTTCAAAAGCTCGCCAGCTCCATTGCCTGACCTCTCCAACTTGTTAAACTCTATGCCCACCAACTTGTTTTTTACTAAAATCATATAAATTGTTTAGGCAAACTCTCATCTAATTTCAACGTAGAAGTACATACTTTAAGCTTGGCAAATTTGACTTTGCTCTGGTAATTCTGTACCTTTTTCATTGTTTTAAAATCTTACTTGTAATCATGACAAAGTGCTTTTAGTGAGCCCAGCAGTCAAATTTTTTTCATCATCAGTATCTGAATGCGTATGCTAAAACCAGTTCGAGTTGTAGAGAGGATCTGTTATTGATGAATATTGTGTCCCAGGGGAACGCTTTGTTATTAATTCCATTTTGCACATCAAAATTTTATAGACCATTAATTCAATATAAGTGCATGACCCGCAAATCTCACTCTCATCTTCACTCTGACGTCCTTTTTTCACCCATGAGAAGTTGCCGATAAGATGTTGTTGATTCTGTACACCACGCAGGTGGTGTGTGGCTTATTCATTATTTTTAGCAAGTTGGCATCATGACTGTCAAATGATATGAGGATGTCACAGAATGTTTAATTCATATCTCAATCATGCATGTGTTAGCGACAGTTAATAACTGTGATACCAATAGCTAAATTGTCGTTACATAAATCACCTGGATAGTTAAATAAAATTCTTGCCAAGATAGAGAAATATTCACTCATGTAAACAGTCCAGAAGAATTGCAAATATTTGCCATAAGAAGAAAGTTTCAAAAGTGAGTGGCTGGCTCAACCAAACAGTTTTTCTCTTTTAAATATACATACCAGATTTAGAAGGTTTTAGATTTTATGTTTAAAAGCAATCAGAGACCATTATTTGATCCTTCAATCGTTCTTTTTTGTCTCGAAAATGTTATTCTTGTTACAATGTTTCTGAAGGGATTTTAATAACTAAAAGCTGTATCCAGACAAGCGCTATCTCAGCAAGATGCTATTCATAGGGATACTCCGATGATTTGTTTTGAAACTGATAGGAAATACTTAAGTTTCAAAATGTAGTTCAAGAATCAATATAAATGTAAGTGCCGAAGTGCACGGTCTAAATTTTAGAATACTGTATCAAGGTGAGTCACATAAACAAATATTTTAAGCAAAACTCATAAAAAATTTGTTATAAAAAAGTTTGTGTGGTCCCAAAAGGTAATATAGCAGGGATTTAAACAATTAAACCTTTCAATCGCTACGTAAAATGTTATAACAAGAGTTGACTTCAATAATTATTAAAGTTAAACTGCAGGTTCTTAATACACAGCTATCAATACATATGGATAAATTTGTATTATGATGATATTACTCCAAGAAATATCTTGCAAATTCCTAACAATATTAAAAAGCCAATAAGTAGATCTAAGTTTTTCCTGAATTTTCAGTTCATTTTTTGAAGAATTCAATTGATTTTCAGATAGCTTCAGTCTGCCTTTTTCTACAAATTAAATTGATACTTCAACTCTTGTCACATTGTAAAATCAGCTCATCAATTAGCTGCATAGTTAAAAATTAAGAATGGGAGTGTAACAACTAGCAAGCTAGGAGTGTTGATCATCATAGCCAAGCATTTTCATAAGTCTAAGCTTAATTTCCTATTTGCTTCTTGATTATATCTTTTTTATAATCCCTGTTAAAGTGTACCTTTTGTATACTGATAGCTAAACTCAGAAATCAAGTTTCTCGATTGTCATGTACCCAAATTCCTGCTCTTACTTTATTTTTTCAAGAGGTAATGTGACTCCTTACTTCGTCGCAATTTTCACTGATCTTTAGAAGAAATATCACCGAAACTTCCAAAGAGGTACATTGATTCATTTTTTCCAATTCCAAAAGAGGTATGACACAGAGTCTGCAGTGTTGCAAACAGAGAAATGTGGTTTCGGAGTTTAGCCATCGATACTCTTTGTTAATGATTTGTTTGTAGGTTACATCTACATGTGAGCCACATCCCCCCTTTTTTTAGCACCCCCATTTTTAGTTGGTACGACCATTATAAATTAAGTATCAAGGGCCCCAACCCTCCCTCATAGCTTTAAAGCTCATTGTTATCAGTGTATATTTATTTGTAAATAAATTATATTTTAATTTTGTTGACAAAGTTGAGACTCCTTGTTCATCTACCTTGTTGTGACTGACATTCTTGAATGTGTTAGAGAGGAAGTGGGGAGGGGAGCTCCCAATTAATTTTTTTCTAGTTTTTGGCATTGACCCAAAATTGAGTACTTTAGTTAATGGACCTCCAGACAGAGTCTGAATTTAAGCATCATGATTTATGTTTCCACCTTAAAATTTCACATAAATCATGATTTGTACAACAAATGAACGTATTCATGCTAAAAGGAACCATGTGCATCGGGTTTGTATGCAACATAGTTCCTTTTATCAAAAATACGTCCAAATATTGTTGAAAAGAACTCTTAATCCAGATATTAACATTGTTCAATGTATTCATTAAAACTTCCTACTTAAAAAGAAAAGAAAAAAAAAAAGAAAAAACATAATCTACTTAAGTTATATCTCTTGCTCAACGTTGACCGCAAAGTATCTACTCTGAAACTGATAATTTAATATTCCTGAAATGTTCTGTAAATTTTTCTTCCGTCACTCAAAAATGTTCATAGAAAATTTCAAGAGGATGTTTTGATTGGTTTCCTTTTGAAAAATGAAGGACAAGTAATTAGAGATTTTAAAATGCTGCTGTTAAGATTCTCTTTTTTTCTTCAGTCATTTATATTTTAGAAAAACAAGAGGACCCTTAGAGACTGACTTCCTACTTTATATTCATGAACAATCAATAAGTACCTAAATGGAATTCAGTAATTTTTAACTGTCACTTTTCTTTCCAGTAGAATTTTTTTTTTTTTTTGGCTGTTCAGGTCTGGGACTTGACTGTTACTAGGTACTTACCTACCCTTGTATAGGTTAGCAGAACGGAGTTTATGTCGAGGCTGCAGAATGCAATCAGAATATCAGATTTTTCCTCTATTTTACCAAGTTCAGCCAAATTTCAACTCGTCCATTGAAATTTGGTCATTGAAATGCGCAATTCAAGCGCTTGCTCTCTTCGATAAATCACTCAACATTATATTTGTGCTACCATATTATAATATTCAATTTATAAAAATGAAGTACTTATAATTTCACTAAATAAAATTGTAGGTAAAAATAATGTAATCAAATTTTAGTGGAAAAATTTGCAATATGGGATCATTACACCTCCGTCATTTTGGATAGACGTGAATGTCCATGTAAATATCATAATTCGATGCAAACTTCAAATCAATCGGTTTCATGGTTGAGTAGTTTTAATCCGCTTGGGCAGAGTTGACCCATCAATATTATTAGACTTTCGAGATTTTCCAACAAAATACGATATCTGTTGGCAGTTAAGTATGGTCTGGTCAAACTTAAGTAAATCCTTCATGTCAAAGCCTTTTCCCATCACTCTCCAAAATTATTATAATTCCATTAGTTAGGTATCAAAATAATTTCACTTTTTTGCTTGCCGTATCCTGTATATTACGTCATAGGTCCAAGCATACAGCTGCCTGCAATTATGCTGCAGGAACCAACGCAGGAACAAAAGCGAGTTTTTCAAAATGCTGTGAAGTATACACGGATTATAAGTATCACATGTCTGCGCAAAGTTAGGAAGTAAAATAATGTGACAAAAACGTAGTGAAATCATTCAATACACATTTTAAACCACTTACTCATAAGTCAAAGGCGCGTAGATGAAAAAGGATAGGTACCTACGTGAGTAACTATCATTCGGAGAATAGCCGGGCTTCAAGAAAAATCGAAATTTCGCGCGCGCTTACGTAGCGAGTAGTACCAACTTTACATTTGCATGTGCAATGTATTGAGTTTTGCAGATCGTCCACCATGTGTGTGTCTGTGTCTTTCAGTGATAAGAGAGACGTGAGAACTGAAGTTTTGTTTCTGCGTGCTTGCCTTGAAGTTTTGGAACATTGTGATCAGGGAATTTTAATAGCAATCCACTAAAATTTGTATCTGCTCCTTTAAATCACTTTCTGTTTGTCTGCGCAACCGTCTAGATTTCCAACAAAAATAAGACCAGGATCCTGACTGCCCAAGAATGGAGATCTTGACCAAAGTTATGAGATTACAAACTAAATTTAGACCTTTGCTTACACGATCATGGTAAGAATTTAATGCTTATTTCATCATCTCTGTGCTTTTGATCTCCTATTGCATCAAGTTTTGAAGGAGATCAAAATTCATAGGCACTGCTGTGAATCATGATTCTGACGATCATCTCAAACGATGAATGCTGTGCGACTGCGACCCCTCTCTAAAGTCTGAGTTTTCTCCTCCTATCATTGCTAAGCTGGATGTCAATTAAAATTGTATACTTTTTCAATTGTTTTCCATGTGTATTTGTCCATAGTTTGCTCGCACAATTAGTCAAGCACCTATGAGTTGCAAATGAAAAGGTCAATGTAGCAACTGCCTCCATTCTATTTACATAAGTTGTTCTCTGAATCTGGTTTCACTTACATACATTTATACATTGGCTCGAAGCATTTCAGCCTTCTTTATTTATGGGGGAAAAAAACGAATTTGACTCAAAACAATGACATTGGAAACAGTTAAATTAATCCCAACAAACGAAGCTTGGGTGCAAAAAAGGCAGTTTTTGGTTACAGTGTCTCAGAATCTCAGCTAAAGTTTCATCCATTATAATCAAAGTAATATTTCAACTTTTGATGAGTTTTACTCAAATAAATGTCAATCAATTTTCTTATAATGCTATTTGATATTAATGATCTTAGCAGCATTGTCTTGCTCTTGGTTCCTTTTTTGCAATGTGCGGCCCATTCAACCTAAGTTCTGGTTCCTCCCCCTTGTTCACAAGCAATTGCAGATAACGAGTGTGAAAATTTCACGAATTTTACATTTTCTCAATTCCTCTTCTTGTTCTGTTTTCAGCTCTAAAAATTCATTCGCCTTTTCGAGAGACGGAGATGAAGGATTTTCATCCATAGATGGTGTCAGAATATCAAAAGACAGCCACATACTGGAAGCAGTTGGAACAACTGAGGAACTCTCATGCTTTTTAGGGTAATTCTAATTTTGATTTCAATTTAAATACAACAATTACATGTTGTGTATGGCTGTCAATAATTTTTCGTAAAGTGAGTCTCTCGATAATTCATTGAGAATTTTTCCATCAAGAAAAAGCTTCCGCTCAAATAATGCATAGTTCTCAAAGAGTTAACACAACAGTTAGCACTTGAAATTCAAAATTTAGAGCCTTGCAAGTATTTCTGTCCATTATTAGACAGTAGCAGGTAAATTATTAAAAATCGTAACCACCAATAATGAACCACTTTACAAGGTGCTTCTTTAAGCAATATGATCTTCATCTTCTCATCAAAATTTCACCTAGAACTTGATTTGTGCAACACAAATTTTTTATAAGTAGGCTCCTAACAAAAATATATTGATATCTTATGGGGTGTATAAATTTGATTGCATTTTGCAAAAAGGAACCACTAGCATCGCAATGATGCTAAGATTGTGCAACTTCATCCTTTGCAATAAAATTGCAGAACTATGAAATTTAGATAGTAATTTTTGTCTTAAATTCACAGTTTTTAGCGAGTAAAATAGAAAGTATTAATGGATAATCGGGTTTTTCCTCCAAGACAAAAGAAGTTGCACAATCTTAGCAACATTGTAATGCTAGTGGTTCCTTTTTGCAAAATACAATCCAATTAAAACTTCCCACAAATAACAAAACAATAATCCACTTGAATTAAATTGCACACTAAACGTTACTGTAACAGTGTCTGCGGTATGAAAATATAGCAAGCTCCATCGCAGCGCTTCTGTTCAGCTGTCGCACATTGTTTGCATTTTGAACAGCATACATCATGGAATGATCATTGCTCAGTATAGGGACCTGTTATAACCGCTGTAGAGCACGATTTGATCCATGTAGAGTCTGGTCTATCTTGTAACCGAGAAATTCAAATTTTTTGCAACCAGTGCCACCTAAAAACGTTAGTATCTTGGTGAGGAATTCATATCAGTAATTCTTGTCACACGAATCAGGTTCTACATGTACATTTTAAGAGGAAACATTCACCAGAATATTTAAATCTGGTTTTGTCCAGTGGTCTATTGGTTCGGTAATGAAAGAAGGTGATACAAATAGCTTTATTTTCTACTTGTGATAGATAAGAAGAACAACTAGTTATCATTTTTCCAATTCGAAATTTCACGTTATTTTTCAATGCCCTTCCAGAATAACTCTTTAAAAGACTCTAAGAAAAATAATGGGTGGCACATGTTAGCTCAGAATAGTGAAATGTAAGCCTAACTTTTGAAACAGAACTATTAAGGTAAGTGTTTTTCTAATTAGGCACACCATTCTGGTGTCAATTGAAATGTAGTCAATAAATGGTTTTATGTGAAACTGATGGGGCATATAACTCTTTGCTGATATTGATCCTATGGTTACAGGTTAGCCAGAGAATATGCCGTTGACAACAAACATCCATACAGTGACAAGATTACAAGGATACAGACAATGCTTGTAGACATCTCAGCAGACATCATGAAAATACCGTCTCTAGGTGACAATCACGATTCAAAGCAAGAGGAGAAATCTTTAATCACATCTTGTAACACCAAAGAGTTAGAGGAGTGGATTGAAGAGTACTCTAAACATTTACCTCCCCTTGAGAACCATATTTTGCCGGTATGTTCTCATTTTTACAACAGTTTTAGAGCTTCTTCCTCACGCTGCATCATCTCATGAGTCAAGGAATGCCAAATCCACTCTCATTTCCACATCATGCTATTGCTCTGAATTAAATATATTCATCGTTTGACTGTACCATAGAATAAAGAGACTACGTCAACAGAAGCAAAAGCTCTGTTAGAACCAATGTTAACATTCCGCTTCTCAGAGTCGGTCAATCTGATACTTATTAAAACCAATTCTGAGGTTACCTACAAATATGAAAGTGGAAAAAGACATTAAATTTTAAGCAAATCCACAGTACTTTTCTGGTTTAATGATAAATAAGTTTAAAGAGAACTCTTTCAATTCCTAAAAACGTATGTATCTGTTATTATTCAACCTCTCCAAAATGTCGACCTACCGCAAACATACACGGTACTTATTGAAACAGCTTCCCTTCGTTGTGCTTTGTTGACATGAAAATGGCGGTGGCTTGTGCTTCTGTTGACGTTAGTCTCTTTATTCTATGACTGTACTCTTTCCCTTTGAAAATATCACACACACATACAAAAAGGAATTTCAGAGCCAAAAATTCCAAATTGATTCATTGGCACTGCTGCTCAAAGGAGGTTTTTAGGAATATTTTGGTACAAACCCCTCCTCCATGCTGCAATTGTGAACCATGAAAGTTTGACGTTTGTAATTTAAAATTTTTTTTTTTTTTTTTTTTTTTTTTTTTTTTTTTAAGCACTAAACTTAGGTACTTAACTTGACCACTACTTAGCTAAAGTACTAACTACTTTAGTTAGTAGAATCACTCCTATTGGAAACAAAAGGAAGTAAGCACTGGAAACTGTATGTTTTTCCAAATTTTTTTTCATTGCTTTCAATAGTAGTTTCTATTCATGAGTTACATTGAAAAGAAAATCGTCGGAGTAAGTTCTTAATTTTTCATGTGCTGGACTTCATCATGAACAAATTTTCAATGGTTAACACTGTACTAAGGCACGTAAACCTGGCCAGATAAGAGTGAAAATTTAAATATTTCTTATGCAGCAATTTTAAGTGAGATTTATGTCCAATAGGAAATTTTACAAAACTAAGGGAAGATTTACCCATGTGAAGGATGCCCAGCGATATCATGGATAGGAGGCATTCAACATGAAATTTCAAAGTGCGATTTACCAGCCAACCCAAGGTAGATCTACCTTATCTACCTTGAGCCGACCTTTGTTTTGTTTGACAACGATGCTGGTTAGGTATTGCAAAGTGTCCAGACGGGCTGTAAAAGTGACTTTCATACATATATTTGTGGGAAAGAACTAAGATTTGATCCCCTGAAAAATCATAATTTTCGGAAGCACATGTTTTCAGAGTTTGCCATCTTTTAATCGATATTCTTAGAATGGATGTTTTATTTTACTCCCATTAATTAATAAATTTTGCAGGATGGTGGCAAGTCTTGCACAACCTTGCACATAGCCCGAGTTGTTTGCAGACGAGCAGAGCGGTCAGTCACCCCTTTAGTGCGAGAAAAACGGTTAGGCAAAGAAATCCTCATATATTTCAACAGGTAAGCGTGTTATAATTTGTTTAAGAATTTTTTGAGCTATGTCTAGACTTCAGTGCATAAATTATATGATCAGCCAAGTTCATTTTTCCTCAATTATCAAACTACACCTACACCCAACTTCAAATTTTTTACCCATTAATGACTAAATATCGTTTTAAAATGATCAGACAATTTTCTTAAATTCAAGAAAAATGCTTCTTCTCTTTTTCTTGAGTGGTTTTCATTTTTGTACATTTTCTGATGCAGATTGGGGTCTAAAAACCTTTTCACAATTCTGTTTTCAGCTTCACAATGAAACTAATATGTACAATGAAGAAAAAATTTACTTCGCTCTGCCCGTCTAAACTCTTTACTCTCAAGCTACTATAAAATCTATCGTGACTTTTCTTGTATCTCTTGTTGTCTTTTTCATTAAGTACATAGTGAGGTCATGGAGTTTAATTTGTCTGTTGCAGGCTAGCTGATTTTCTCCTCACTGTGTCGAGGTATGCAGCGAAAGTCGAGGGTAAAGTAGAGAACATTTACACACCTGTCAGCAGCCCCAAAGAGAAGGATAAAGAGCAGGCCAAGCAAGCATAAACTGTCAGTAATTGTATCATAGAATTAGTTTTAGTCGTATTGTATTATACTGTTCAGGTTTTCCTGGCTCATGTTTTTTGTTCTTATAAGTTTTGTTCATATACCTTTTGATTAAACAATAGGTATTAAATTTTTCATTTTTACTCCCTCGATAATCAAGTTCCTCTTTTCTGCAGCTGTCTACCCTAATGAGGGCCAGAGAAATGGGTCAATACGTTTATTGTGATTGATTCATTTTCTCAGAGTTCTAAGTGAGTCAAGTAAGCTCCCTTGATTTTTTCGAATTTTTGTTTACCTGAAAGAAAAGGGTAGAAAATCAAATTTGAAGTAGCCAAAATGTGCACCCATTTGAAACGTTAGTGATGGCAGTCCTTTATGACGTAGGCAGGCGAGGGAGTTCACATTCGCTAATATGCCGAAGCCCTACCAAAGACATGGCCTAGTTACATCACCAAGTCTTCCACAATTTCACACGAAAATTTTTTGCGTGATCTAGAATAATGAACACTCCTGAATGTATGAAGCAATGCTACAAAATTGAGCTTTGCAGCCAGCGCAACCTTCTTTCTCAGGCATTGTATTCAACTACCGTTATCTACATGCTTAAAAACAAGACAGTTATAGAAAAATTCAAGGAAAATTTATTTTCATAAAAATGCAGAAATATTGAGTAGTACAGTACAAAAATACCTATCAGGCAGGTATTATCACGACTAAATTTAACATAACAATGCAACAAAGAATGACGAAAAATATTTGTACTTTTCAGACACATATCACTAATAACAAGATGTAATGTCATCTAAGAGGTTTATTTCAAATATGATAATTCAATATTTTTATTTCAAATATGACTCGGGAACAGATAGGGAAAGAGTAACATTGAATTTGAATCAAGGTCTCACAAAAAAGGAAATGATATCAAACATGATACTCATACATACTCAATTGAGATAATGGAGGGTTCAACCTTGCATTGTATTACATGAATATTGCGCTCCGAGAATATTAGAATCAGATAACCAACGGGAATTTCAGGGAGGAATACCTTACTTCAATCATAGTTTGTGTAGTGGAAGTCTCGGTTGAGGGGCAGAACCCATAAAAGGTCGAGGTATTGCTCCAGCCAAGAGTACACTCAAAATAGAGGGCAAAATTCTCTTCCTTTGCAGAGTGAGTAAATCAGGATTAGTTGGTGAGGAGATATAAAGTGTAATAAGGAAAGAAAAAATAAAAAAAAAAAAAATACAGCAAAGTTATCTCTAAAATTAGACAAAAATAGTATGATTTGAAGATCAATTCATCACAAATATGAGAGGAAACACAGTGGATTGATTATCAATTATTTAAACGATAGAAATAAACAATCAGGAATTGGGAGAAATTTCATGTTTAATTCTAAAAAATGTGACGGATAATGGGACTTATTTATGGGAACTACATGCATTGTGTTTAAATGCAACATCGTTACTTTTATCATATATACATGCAATAATGCAATGGAGATCAATTGGAAAAACATTATATAATGATAAATTAAGGATCAAAGAGGTAAAGCGGAAGTCAAAAAATGAATAAAAAATTTTGAGCGGAGGGAAATTAGGGTCTTAAGGTATCTATTGAGTATTGTAAATATAAAATTAGATGCATGTTCTAAGAACCTCAGAGAGAAAAATACATTCACCGCTCCCATACAAAGAAGATCCATGGAAGGAGGAAATAAGGAGTATTGATTGGCTAGAATTTAATATGAAATTACAGTAGACGATCACAACTTTGGATGGATGGACTGAGCAACACTTAGCATCTACCAGTATTCGATACAAAATGAAACAGAAATAGGGACAGATGATGGCTTAAGTCTTTTGCGAAAAACACATTAGTGCGAGTAACTATTTCAGCTATCTAGTAAAGTTTCAGAAAGAGCAATAAGTAGTTTTTCTCTCTACGAAAAGAAAAAAGTCAAAGAATTTCAATTTAAATATCTCATCTTGAGTGAACCTTCAGTAAGAAAAGCAATCAGACCACTGGTTTTGTGTGGGTAATAGTAACTCCATGGAACAAAAACAAGGACTGTAATGGAAGAACACATTAGTAGTGAGAGTCCATTTCTGCATCACTCAAAGTAATTTTTCACACAAGGCTGACATCATTAGCATGGTTACTTTGACTGTTCTGAGAATAACTTGACAATTGAAGCCCACACTCATGGCGTATCTCTGTCGACAAGTTCAGCCCTACCTCTGCATGACAAATGGGTTGCGTTTGAAAGGAACCGAGCCACATCAGCTTTTGTCAAATTTATGTGGGCAATTCGATTTTTTACGAGAGAACGTTTGTGCGGATTTTTTTTAGAAAATTTCGAGGAATTGACTTTGCACTATGCAGAAAATTCACTGAATTTCGCAAAAATAATTCGCACGACCGCTTTCATGTAAAAATTAAATTGCCTGATTAAATTTGGCAATAGCTGATGTGGCATAGTTCCTTTCTGTTTGACGCGGTCCAAATGTGATTTTTCCGGTTTCTAGAAGGACTCTCCTATGCTGGTGCAATGCCCCCCCCCCCCATTATGGTCCTAAACTTTCAGAACTCCTTTAAGCATGAGAGTTGATTTAGTAACCAGTGGCATCATCGAATTCAAACACAAAATTTTACATGCTATCATGTGTTTTAGTGAAAAATAGTCTGTCCAGGTAAAACTCAATGTGAATTATTCAAGGTTGCTCTTACTGTTGATAGATTGAGAATGTAATAGAGGCTTCTGAGTTTCGTTCGTAGGAACCTCAATTTTATAATACCCGTTTTGTTAGATGTAGATCTGTTGCAATCTTACAGAAATCAAATTTAGTTTATTTAGACATCTTCAGATTGATTGCTAAGTGCGTAAAAGTCTGTAACTGATAGACACTATGGCAAATGACCAAGCAGAACATAAAAACGCCTTAATCTTACAAAAGTAGTTGTTCATAATTGAATAATACTAAAATTTACTTAAGTCTACTGATATAAATTAATGCAGAGATATTTCCAAGAGGAAAATAGAGGTAGATTTGCTTTTTTTATTCAAATATTCTGGAAAGAAGATGAAAATGTTTAAATTGTTGCCGCAAAATTTTGACCAAGAGCTGTTAAGCTGTTTTTGAGATCTTTTTGATTGGCTCATTCGAATTCTTTGAAGAAGATGGGATTTTCAATTCTTTCATCTGATCTTATGAAAAACTCAAAAATAACACATTGATGCCTAAAATTATCACGGAGCTTAATAGTTATCATGCTTATCATGTTGAGCCTAAAATTAACTTTCAAGCTCCAGAAAAACAGTTAAAGGCTACAACTCTTGTGAAACAAAACTTCAAGGGAAAGTCTATGTATTCACAATCGGTGAAATGCTTTGCGCAGAGACAAGGCTGAGAACACGAACAAGGTTGTCTGAATATAAGGAGATTACACGTGACAAAAAGATAATTAATTTTCAATCATCAGGCATAGCAATTTTCTGCCATCCTGCCCTTCCTTGAGCAGAATATGAATATTTCCCATATAAATGTAGAATCTAGGACTACGATTCTAGGCGTAATGTCGAGACTGATGTGAGAGTTTGTGAATTAATCCAACGTAAACTAGCCGCAATTCTTGCAAAATTTTACTTGTGAGTACTTCGTTTCATAACTGATCTTGCTGTTGCAAGAGATTAACTGGGCGTATATTGAGGTTCTTGTTAGAAAGCTATTTCCTGCCTCCTGATGAAGTACAAAGAAGCAAATTGTATGAGGCACCTCAATTTTTTTTAACAAAAATCAAGTTTTATGTTGTCAAGGAGTCAATTTCAGCTAAAATATCCTTTTATTCTGCAACCTAATTTACACTGAATACAGAACACAATCTCACTCACCGAGTAACATATTCTCACACACAAGCCCCATCATTTTATTGTCACATATCTAAATGACGCTGATCCAAAAGGCTGGTATAAAATAAATAAATAACACTTGACTGCTCATTCAGTTCAGTTGTATGATATCAATCAAAAATAAGGTAACTGAGTCTTTCACAACTTGAAAATTCGCTGGGACAAACCCATGGTGATTTTACATATAACAAGAACATTTTCACTGGTATGATTTAACTGAAATCTATAAAAAAGAGTTCACAAAAAAATTGAAAATTTTATACACAAGAAATGAAAAATTTATTCTTGCCATATAATTTATGAATCGCTTGGACGTGCTTTTTTTTTTCCATCAGTTTTGCTGCAACGACGATTGACCCCTTCCTGGTCACGAATTTTGTGTGATGTTGAAGGCTGTTGAACATCAAAATACTTTGAAGTTCCTTCCTTGTCCTCTTCCTCCTCCTCATCTTCATCTTCGTTTCTTTTCTTCCTTTTTTTGTTGATATTTTCTTTGCCTACTGCACTGACCTGTTTCCCTTTCGGAGCCCAAATGATAGCTTTAGACCCTGCACAAAGAAAAGAACGCATAATAAATATATCATGAAGCTATTCATGATCAACTGGGCTGATGATGGGACTTGAATTGAATTCCTGATTAGGTCTCCTCTAACAATCCACACTTTTTTTAAAAGATGGTAATGATGCAAAAAAGCACGATCTGACTTGTGTCACAATCAAGAGTTTTGGAAGAAGATGAATTGGTGATCTTAATTAGAGGATATTGGAAAATTTTGTCATTAAAGGTGAAAAAAAATAAGAACTTTTGGCAAAAATGTACAAATTAGAGCATGATAAGTTAAATTCAGGTGCCTTGTCACTGCAAGGAACACGCATCTTGAGACTTTCTGCATCCATGGATACCCTGAGGGTCCATAGAATAAAAAATGGATTAAGAAGTAAAGTAATTGGGACTTTAGTAAAATCTTTAAAGTCTGGATCCGTGACTCATCGGAAGAATTCTGAATTTCGACTAGCCTGTAGCAGACAATACTGATTTTTTAGAGCAAATTCATGCCTCTATCCAATGGGGTTCTACTGCTTCAAACTCCAACTGGATAGTGGGACTGGCACAAACGCACATTATGAGTGACCCTCGATTCAATTACAACACAGCTAAACAAAGCAGATTAACTACAATTCATTGATCAAGTCCCTCCTCCACCCTGTCGCCTTGAAGAAAGTGACTGGGTATTGGATTGGCATAGTTATCCATAGTCACCAAGACACTCCAAGTGTCCTGGATAACTGCTCACCAAAGAAGATTGAACCTGGAACCTCAGTGTTGGCAGCAAACTGTCTTAACCAAACTAATCTTGTCTAACTTAACCTTGTCTTAACTACACTACCAAAGTTGGCAGGACTGACTTAGTAGAGATAAGATACAAATTTCGAAATGACTTAATTGACTGATCAGAATTCTCAATAATTTTTTTAAAATTTTAACTCTATATTACTCCTGATCTCCTAGTTGTTGTACTGATTGTAGTGAATCGTAGTGATTACACATAGCTTGTGTCAAGGTATTAAATAGTGCGTGATGATTTTCGTTTTCATCGTATTTTATTCTCTCGACAAGGCTCATTGCAGCTTCAAAGACTAGGAAAGAAGCTCAAAGACACAACTTAACGAGGAGTGATTAAAAAGAAACAAAGGGCCTGAGAATGGAAAAAACAACTCCCGAAATGGCCATCATTCAATAAAAATTAGTACAACAACTAGGAGTCCACGAATAACAAGAAGACAAAATTTTCAAAAAATCAATTGACTGGGATATTCATTTCAAAACCTTCTAAGGCATTCAAAGAGCACTTACCGGAACCTGTTGCCAGCAAACTTGCATTATTATTGAACTGGTTCAAAGACAGTAAACCTGTGAAGGGTGGGTGATGCAATTGGTACAGCATACGCCCAGTTGTGGGACACATAAAATCTACTGTAGATAATTCACCAGGGGTGTGGCCTGAGAGATTTGGGTCTGGATACCTTCCGCAGACTACTATGTCCTCTAGAGGGTGCCAAGTAGCCTGTGTAAAAAGAAGACAGAGGTGCTTGCAATTAAAAAAATACACTTAATACTTAGATTCGTTGGTAGTATACATTGATGCATCACATCTAAGAGAAACCAAACAATAGAGTCATAATAACCAAAATTGACTCACTACGTTGAAGAGGAGTATTGAATAAAGATTCTCGCTTGAAAAAATACCCAAAAATGTCAGAGACAGCCGGTGCCATGGTGATTTGAAATTTGCAGTCCAAAAAACATAGGGACGATGAAAGTCTGCAACTGGGTACCTCCACTTGCGACATTGCAGGCTTCCTGTCATACTTTATTTTTTAAATTGAGAACTACGCAACATCGATTCTTAAAAACTAAGTACTGTGATTTTTCTTCTCTGAGTGAGGGAAATTTTCCGAAAATTTCAAAGAGTGATGTTGATAATCTCTTTTAAAAAATAAAATATGTAGGAGCAAAGATTTTGAAACACAGTATAGGAGATACGGAGTTGCGGACTTTCACTGGCAATAGATTTGATAAAAACCTTATTGTTGCAATTTTAATCATTAAAGCTAAAAATTGTGGAATTATTAGAATAATCAACTTGCCTATGTGATGAACTGAACTGTTTTTAACTAATATTTTGGGATATTACTCAACCTTTGCCATGAAAAAATCAAATGCTCATTTTGTGACTTCATGGGACTAATTTTTTTTTTTTACTCTTTAATAATATTAATATTAAGTTACCTTAATGGGAGTAATGTGTTGGAACTGCCTGTGTGGATGAGTAATTATGTTTACAAGATCCCAGTTCGGAGCTTGAAAAACCCGCAGCTCACTATGTTGATCTGTTGTCAGCAAGTAATTGGCATTGGTGCGGCTGGAAGAAGAGAAAGAAAAGAAAAAAACTTGTTGTGAATAGGTGCTCATGTAATGAAAATTACGAACAAGGCCTCGAACATTGATGGTGAAAGGCTCGTTTGTGTAGAACAGATGAAAAAACAAAAACCTGATGGCTTACAATAAGGCTTGAACGGAGAATTCTAGGTTGGCAGTTAATGGCAGACCTCTAGGATAGAGGAGATGCTGCAATTCTCTCTTGTAGCTGTAAAATTTTCTATGAATTTACGATGGACCTCCAGACATGATATGAACAAAAACACTAGGTAAGTATGCAACGAGTTCAAAATTTTATAAAGGAAAAAATTCACTGGTCAGGATGCAGGAAGTTTGAGAATAACCCACTGGCCTCGGCTGTTAAAATTTATTTTTAAAAAACTCTTTAAAAAGACCGTTAAAATTTATGAAGAAGGAAACCCCTTTGGGATTTTTTTTTTTTTTTTACATAAAATTTACTAGAGGCAAAATTTAAATGAAAAAGTGTTATAGTACTCCTTAAAAAAACGCGATTTTTTAAAACAATTTTTCATGTAAAATTATGGTAAGAAAAGTGTTAGAAAATCAGTGTATTATTTTCAAGAGTTTTTTAAAACAATTAACTTAAATTTGTCCTCTCGTAAATTTGGTGCAGAAAAACCTCAAAAAAGATTTCCTTCTTCGCCGATTTCAACAGTTTTATTTAGAGGTTTTAAATGAGAATTTACACATTTTTTAAGAGATTTTTAAAGTCCCTGCTAAGTACCTACTAGGGAAATCCTAAGCAAGATTCAGGTATTAAAGGACAACTAAAATTGGTCAAATGGCAAAAATGGCAATTTGGTTGAACGTCATGTGTAGGTATTTCTAACTTCCATTTTGATCCGAGTTAAAAATACTTGGTAATACTTTGTTCAGGTATTGATTCCTTAGCTCTCAATTGAATAAATCGTATCCTACCTAAGATTTTACAGAGAAAACATGTTGACTCTTTTAGTAGCTCAAACTTTCTAGTGGCCCAATGCTAGACGTTTTTCATACCTGGGGCAGGTCTCCAGCATAAACTTAAGAATAAATTAAGTTCGACTGTGCTTAATTTTTCACAAGATAAACATGTAATAGTTAGGTACTTTCAGCAAATTGACTGAATGAAGAGCTGATACCTATTAAAAAAGATAATGTCTGTTGGTTTTCTCAAAAAGTATTAGACACCGGTAGACATTGGGTAGGTATGGGTACTGTCAAATATGAATGTATTATCAAACTAAAACCATCAAGAGCATGCTTGCGCGGAAGAATCTTCAAAGGGGGCCGATCAAAGATAATCTTAACTTCCAGTCTTAATGCCAGACATTTTGCCCTTGCAAGAATTGTGACAAAATTGCAGCATTTAAGTAAGAACCTACCTCAGTTTAACTTGATTTGAAAAAAGTTCAGAAATTCAGGAACATAGTTTAACCATATTCAACACCTAGTTTTTGTCTTCAGGAGTTCTAAGACTATTGTAATGAAATTGGGTTTACAGATTTTTCACTGCAGTACAAGAGACAGAAGTCGATGCCTCCTTCACTTAGTGAAAAGTTTTAGGGGGGGATAAACTAAGTCAGCATTTGAACTAGGAAGTTCTTCCAATTTTCTTTGAACCCTATTCATTGGAATTTCAAACATCAAACGATGATAATGAACGTTTGTTTCTCCACGAAAAATATTAAAAACCAATGAAAACAGTACTCCAGATGCTGAGTCTACAAACTTTCGCATGCTATGATACATAAATTTCATGAGTCCAATCGAAAGTTCCTCGGGTAGAGTTCCTAATATACATATATTCAAGCAAATTAATGAATCTCGTCCTACCAGTTGGTAATAATTTGAACTGACTAGTCTTGAAAGATTTATTTTTTTAAAGTTAAACGTTACCCTTCGTCAAATAGGTACAAATATTCCTATCAATGAAATAAGATCTCGGACATCCTGCAGGCATCTCGAAGCAAATCAGAAGAATTCAGTGGGTATCATTAAGTATATTCAGAATATCCATGGAGTTTTAAAGAAATTTAGAGCTCCTGGATGGGTACCTAGGTCTAAGGCAATTAATTTATTTAATTGAGCTGAGCTTACCCAACACAGAAAATGCTTTAACATTTATTTATTGCCGTAAATATTGATACCACTTATGACACACTGGAATCAAAAATGTTTCCATCAGTTTGGTGCGTTCTTAAGAACACAATAATTTTAACATTGGACTCTCGTCTCAAGGGGCTATTCAGTGGGTGGTTGTTTCTAAAACAAGGATTCATGAAATATACCTCCTTCACGGTGAAAAGGTTTTGAAACTCATCACTTTTAAGAATGTCACTGCAAATAAGCAACTAAGTAATTTAGAACCCAGAGACAGGATGGGACCAAACTACATTCGAAATTTCAATCCAATTAGGTAAACAAAGGGCTGAATTTTGGATTGATAAAATGATTTGTTTAAGAGGACCTTGCCACTCAAGCAACATATACCCAAGTCAACATTTCTGAGACAGTGCTACTTTCACTTCGATTCATAGGTAACTAGGTAAGTATGGGCATCCACTTTTTTTTGTGCACATGTTTTCTTGCCAAAAAGTGAACATGGTAAGTAAAAAGACCTCCAAAAACAATGGATGACGCAACACTGCAGAGTAGAGAATTGTATTTTCTGGCGCATACGAAAGGAGAAAAAGAGCAGTGTTTCAGCAATGTTGACAGAGTAATATTTCGTTGTAACATCCAAGTCCTCTTACCTGATAATGTTGCAGAAAAAGACTGGGAAAAAAGCTGTTTGCTGAGCAAATAAGGCAGCCTCCACAGTGTGAGGAGGAAATATTTGGATTAATGTCAGAATAAATAGGGTAGGGCGGTTTAAATAAGAAGACATGAAATTAAGGGCTGGAAAAATTTGTTTTATTTTTGAAAAAAAAGTTGTTAACTTCATACTATTAGGAAAGTTTTTCTCTTCCATATCCTCTTCATGACAACTTGACACATGACTTGATTGGGGGAAAACAAAATGAATTTACAAATATACATACATTTGTCTTGCCAAATTTACAATTGTATTAGTTCAAAAATAACAAAATTATTCATTGATCATAATTCTAACTTTAAGTGAGATGGCACACTCCCTGCTGCAGGGCAGCTGTGCAGTAATTGATATTTAATATTTTGCTTTCTATCGTTGTCGTCTATTCAACGATGCAACTCAATTTTTTATGAAAGTGTCTCACTCTCCAGTTACATGGGCTTGGGCAAAGTTAAGAGCAATGACCACACAGACAGAATAGGCGTGTGTAGCGTTTGTTCTATACCCTTGCTCCTGCGTAGATGTAAGACTTCTTAATAAAACTACTTGGTTGATGAGAGACAGATTATTGCTGTCAAGTCTCGAAAAAGACTGAAAAGGTATTCTGTTAACTTCAATGAGTACGTAATGGGTTGATGAGGTGATGGAAAAAGAGGGGAGCGGCATTGTCTTGGGTTTCACCCATGTTATTGATAAAAGCTTTGGACAAGTTTGTATCATAAAAATAAGTCTCTTGTTAAAATCTCACGAACTTAGGAGTGAAAACTGAATGCAGGAAAAAAACAAAACAAAAAAGTTATTGGGGGCACTAAGAACAAACAAAAAGGGTTTTCGGAGCGTCTAGAATTCTCTTCCTTCCTCCATGAACAGCTTTTCCAATATTAGAAAAAGAGTATGACAAAAATGAACATTAAATGACCAGTAAAATCTCATTTGAAATTTACTTGGTCCAAAAATACTTGACATTGATGAACTGAATTTTAGTTAGAAGTTAGAGCTAGAGAATATTGATGAAAAAACCGGGAGATATTTAGAAAACTGAATATTTACATGAATTTAATGGAAAAAACATTTGCTACTACATTGATGACTACTTTGAGGATACAACCAAAATTGAGTGGATGATATTTACTTGAAAGCGTTAAGGACCACTTGGCAGGAGCAGATTTATTCATCATTTCAGTCCAATCGATTAGCTTGTGAATAGAATATGTTAAATTTTCATAGCGTAGAAAACATTTTTAAAGAGACTTGATCAATTAGTATAAGTAGAAGAAAAGAATGACTTTTCTTTCTTTCGAAGAATACGTTTCTTAGAGTGAATTTAATTTGAACAGTAATTTAATTTATTTGAATGTAAATGTCTTATGTGCAAAATTCTGTGTTACATTCCATAAATCTTCGGTGCACTTTCAAATGCAAGTTTGTGTTAATTTATTTGAAGCTGAGGAAACCTTTGATAACTGAGGTATAATGCAAATGGACCAGAATACAAATGGAGATACAGTAATAATAAATACAATGTAAGATTTTAATTTGAATCATGATTGTCAGACTGAGTGGAGCTTAGCCACTTTTTAATATGGCTTTGAGACTTAGGTGACTCGAGTTCAATAATTTCCTCATTCTTTCTAAGACACAAAAAACGCAAGGTACGGCAAATGAAGCAACAAAACGTCAATCTGGGCGCTATCTTGAATAGCCATTTGAGTCAAAATCAATAAAAAGATAGACAAAGATAAAAGGTGTCTCGAACATCAAAAAAACTATACATTAACACTTAAAAATACTATCACAATTTACATGAAAACCTGATCTTCCAACAGCAGCGTACGTCAGTAAAGCATGCACAAAAACACGGATCTCAATTGCACAAGTTTGCAGATTCTTTTTCTACATCATAATCTTTCTTTTACTCATCTGTGTGAGAAATATATTAGGCATTTCTTGAAAATTTCTCCAATTAATTCTGATAAAAAGGGAAGGATCATGATTTAATGGATCACCATGTCTGTTTAACTTAAAAAGTTATAATCTGATTTGAAATGTGCAATCTGGCACATTGAGATATAATTTTTTGAGCTTGCACTATCCGTACGCTTCCCTAGAAACTGAGAAAATTTTGTATAATAATCCGAAATAAATAAAAAAAATTAAGTAATGACGTT